GTTTTATACCACGAAGTCATACACAAAATAATATACACATATTTTCATGTGCCCCACGCAAAGAAACTACAACACGTGTCTACGCAACAAGCAGTATGAAAAGAAAACGAAAAGAAAGGGCGCTACATATAATATGGATGTTCTTTTGTGTTTCACCTGAAGCTGTATTTAAGATTCCAGATACGAGCGGGCCGGATTTATCTGCTCTGTTGATATCGAAATCATATTCTGCAAAACGGAAAACTGAGTCGTGTGTTTCTCCCAACATGAGAACTACTATCCGGAGGGATTTTATTTCTATATCTTGTAATATATATTTTCATGAGAAAACGAAACCATAGGCTTGTAGGCTGCGTCACGTGCTGGAGGAAGCAGATTCAGTCTCAGCCCATGCCAAAAGAACGAATGCTTGGTTTGACACCTGGAAGCTGACTGAAGAACTGTCAACTTCGTCACTATGTATTGGCATCATTAAGTGATCATGGCATCCCAACAATATAACAGACGAATGACCTTTACACCGTGTTTTATTAGTTAATTTTATATGAAACTGGGATTTTGCCCACGTTTAAGAAGCTGGGATTTTGTCCAGTAGGATTTTGTCCAATGAGTTTTTGCAATGGATTCAATGGCAAGTGAGACTGGAATTCACCAGTAATTCTGATAATGTCACAATTTTTTAAAACTCACCAAGTCCATAAAGGTCAAACGAGTACAAAAAGTTCATGGGGCCTAATTTGAAAAGAACAAAAACACATACGCTGCTTTCTTTAATTAATTCTCTCTTTCATAAAAAAAAAACCTACACAGTGGAAAGATAAATTCTAATCCAAATAATGCGAGTGGCAATCTTTTACACGGGCATTTCAGAAAATGATATTGGTGAATTACAACGAAATACACAGACATCGTTTCACTGGGAAAACCTTTCATTGTTCCCCTAGGAATTTCGCTTTCTGAAGATGTAAAGCATTCTTTTGCCGACTCAATGTCACTTTGATAGAAGTAATTACACCAGTGACTATTTGCCGCGAACTTTAAAGTACATGTGTTTGAGATTCGCTTGTCTATATGTATATATATATATATATATATATATATAATTTTTTTTTTTTTTTGGCCCTTTTCCATCTTCCCACTTATTTATATATCAGTATATTTCTGCTTAGTTTTACCTTATCGGAAAGGGCTTCTCAATTGATATCTTTGATTTCGTGATAAAAACTTTATTTGCTTGTATTCTCTTTGGCTTTGGTTCAATTTATGTCGTATAAAGCGCTTCTAAATCTGCTAAAATACTGCTAGTAATTTCAGCAAAAATAAGTCAGCGTTTATGGTAATAAAAAGTGTATATTCCGATGCATAATGAAAGACTTCGACTAATGAAAGAGAAGTCAGGAACATACAAATCTTTGCTTCACCGGGTTGGGTACCTCATAACCTCTTTCCCTGAATACTGGAGATGGATATTAATGCACTACCAATAAAAGGAATATAAAATGCGACAACCATTAATTATTTTTATTATTTGTACATAATAGTAGTTTTAATAACGGCATCATGTATCTTCTTCTATTCCTTCCTATTTGTCGTCTACCCTCATAGCGCTGACTGTCATGGCTCTCTACAATTTCCTGTCCTTTGTAGCTCTTAATAAATTTTGTACTTTTGTCATCTCTCCTAAACCCTGTTCTGCCATGCCTAACTCAAACCCGCTAGGTAGATTATGCGTTACTTGTCATCTTCCCCACTTGTCTGTATTCTGTTCTGTGAGTATCAAATTTACCACACTCTCTTTCTCCATTATGTGCTCTAGAAATTCCAACATTCTCTTTCTGATGTTAAGTATAAGTTTCCATTTTCTGTAAAACTTTATAATTGCTCACATGTTCGTTCGACGGCATTCTCAGTATCCTTCTGTAGAACCATATTTCTGTTGCTTAAACCGTACTAACAGTGGTGGGACTAGGGCAAGATCACCGGTCTTTCTTCATGCTGGTTTTGAATTCATAGCTTTTCCTTATCTCTTACTGTTTACCATCTTAGGGCAAGAATATCCAATCAGACTTGATATTTAATCCATAGATGGAAGAAAATAACCTTTTCCAGTACTATTAGAGCAAAGTGAAAACAATAGTATCGACCGGAATTTGAACTCGGATCGATGCTCTCCATTTTTTTTCTGCACCGATAACCCTTACGCTACCAATGCGTTCAATAATTACACAGCATGCTTAATTATGGGACTAAGTACGAATATGTAATTCTGACGAGGATCAGTATTTCAATGTCATTTTTCCAATTATGACAATGACGCTCCCGACCATTTGTCTGCCTACGGTATCAGTGCTCTCTACTTAGGGACCAAGTCTCGTTCTATCTAATTTTTACTTTCAATCCGTGTTCTTTTCTCCGATATTTGAGCTGGGATCAAAATGACGCATCTATTCTTTTCTCAGCTATGAAGAATGCCTAGTCCCAGGGGAATCAAACAGTGACGCAGTACATCCCTCATGATATTAAAGAGAAAGGTTTGGTGGATATAAGTGTTTTGTTGTTTTTTTTTGGTGGGGGGGTTCTTATAAACTTATCAGGGACTTGTTTAGTTCCGAGAAAGAACTTCTTCAGACAAGTGATACCGTTACTGATAAAATCAGTCTTAAATATAAAAATATATATATATAAATATTGCGATTGGAAATGGTGGTTAATATAATAAACGCCGTTTACAGTTTATATCGAACCGTTAAAATACAGAGACGTTCAGCATTTAAATTAAAATGTTAACATATGATGTACCAAGATGTTAACACACTCAGCCTTTCTCTCTATTTTATTTTTTATGGTGTTACTTTTAATTATATCATATATTATTCATAATACTTTGCGAGAAAAAAAGATCTGTTGTATGATACGGGACGTGGATTTTACGATAAAATACCGAATAGTGTAGACCAAATTAACATGTAGTAAAAGTCTATATTTCTATCTATAAAAAGGCAGGATGTGTGTGTGTGTGTGTGTGTGTGTGTGTGTGTGTGTGTGTGTGTGTGTGTGTGTGTGTGTGTGTGTGTGTGTGTGACGAATGCACGGCCGCAATTTTCGACGGATTTGTGTGTGTGAAATTTACATGCACATGCTCCAAGTTAGCGGAAGGCCAAGACTGACTTTGCATTTCCCAACTCCCATCGATAGTGGAAATAATCGATTTTTCATGCTTCTACGGCAGTTTTCATGTAGTTTGCGGCCATTTTCTACTGGCCAGATTGAGAGCCTATAGCTGGCTGCCGCGAATAGGCAGGAATATTCCATTGGCCAGCGTGAGAGCCAACAGCTGACTGACACGAATGATAACTAGCATGCTAGCATGCAAAAAAAATTGAAAGCTGCATTCGTCGCAAGTAGGAAAAATTTAAATCTGCATGGCACTTTACTCCAATTGGCTCATTCGCTTGCTTAAACTCAACGTTGATTCTGATTCAGCAGAACTGGGTTGTATGTGAAAAAGTATTGTTGTTAACATTCTTTTTTCATTCGGTTTTTCCAGTTACGCGTCCTTTTTTAAAGCTGATCGTTTTGTGTTCATTTTGTTTAGTTCTTTTTTCGTAACAGATTTAATGTTTAGTATAGAGCTTAGAAAAAATTTCGCAGTGTGAGGCAAGAAGTAAGGCATGTAGCAACATCAGCACGGCAAAGAGCACTCCTTTAAATATTTTAAGTCAAGTGATAGCGATTACTGTATGAGTCGTACGATTTTTGAATCAAGCACGGGCAACGCCGGGCCATGCTGCTAGTATATATATATGAATATATATATATAATATATATATATATATATATATATATATATATTTATATATATAAATATATCCTATAAGGACATGTCTTTAACATCGTATGAATTTCTGGGAATTATAAATTGAAGGATCGGTACGGACCAATATACCAAAAATATGGAGACAAATTGAAAAATCCTACCAGAAATTGGAATAGGTTTATAGAAAGCAAGACCGAAAAACAGAAAGAGAGAAGGAGAACTAGAAAGAAAGGAAAAAAAATGCGTTGCATGATACGGAGCGTGAATTTTTCGAAAGAACGAGAAAGCGAGACAAAAAAAAAAGCGAAAGAAAGAAGGAGAGCTAGAAAGAAAGAAGGAAGCAAAGATTTCGAAAATGCGTAAAAGCGAAAATGAATTCCAAGAGTTGAAGTAAAATAAAAAGAGAGGATAAATTAAATAAAAAATGGACAATCTAAGTAAGGAAGATTGCATATGCCGGTGACAAAACGAGGGGTTGATTTTGGTTTCTTTTTCTTCTTTTTTTTTTAAATAAACTGTCTGGAGTGAATATTTCAATCAATTCGCAATCATCAATTAAATAGAAATGACACTTGGAAATAATTTAGCGTTTTTCAATCAAATTATTATCAGCGAATAATTTGTGTTTTTGACAGGAAATTCTCACAGCGATAATAAATTTATCAACTTTTGGAATTTTAATTTTTATTATGACTGTGATTTGTTCTCGATGCTTTAGACTGCCCTAAGTTCGTCTTTCGTTAAAATTAGACGGAAATTATCGTAATTAAAAATCTTGCTTTTTATTTTAATTGCATTTTCTTTTTCTTTTCTTTCTTTTTTTATTTCTCTTTAAAACACGTTCTTATTCGATTTTGTCATTTGTTTTTTTTTTCGCTGGATTTTTTTGTTTTTTGGTCTTTTCTTTTTTGTTTCGTTATTGTCTTCGTCTGTTCGCTGTCTTTTATTATCCGTTCTCCTACCCTTTTCTTCTTTTAATTGACATATTGTTAAATAACAATGTCGTCGTCTTTACGGTGGTATCTCAGCCCAACGGACGATCGTTTGTTTGCATTTATTATAAAATCATTCATTTTCTTTCGTCATAAATTTCGGAGTACATTAGAGTGTGAATTGATTGTGCAGTTCAACATAATTTATTATAAAGCAAATATCGAAAAAATATATCGATAACGACTTCTACTTAGCATTGGTCCTGATATAAACGATAGATAGATATTAAAAGATAGATAAAAACAAACTGAGATACGGTCATACACATGAAATAGATAGATAGATAGATAGATAGATAGATAGATACAAAGATAGATAGATAAACTGTTACACTCTGAGATAGATAGAGATAGTAATCATAGATACGATAATAAAAAATATAGATAGATTTTTTTTCAAAATAGATAGATAGATGAATAATATAAACACACATTAAATAAAATATATAGATATAAAAAATATCAATGAAATAGATAAATAGATATATAGATAGATAGATAAAGTAAATAACTGTAATAAATTTTTAGATAGATAATAGATAGAAAACAAGATAAATTCAAACACACTGAGATGAAATAGGTAGATATAAATAGATTGTAACAAATGAAATAAAATAAATAAATAATAATAAATAAAGAAACTGAAAATAAAATAGATAGATGTCACCTCTTTGAATAAATAGATAGATGCGATAAATAGATAATAGAAATAAGAATAGATAGATAGATAGATAGATAGATAGATAGATAGATAGATAGATTAATTGTCTAATTACGTCAACTTTTGGATAAATAGATAGATAGATAGATAGATAGATAGATAGATAGATAGATAGATATTTTAATTATTTTTTGTCCACACTGGGATAGATAAGAATACACTGAGATGCCTAGATCCAGATGTCTAGATAGATAGATATCAATAAAATTTTTTGAAAATCACGAAAGAAAAATTCTCTTAAATTTGTGGGGCTTCTTTTATTTCAAAACAAGAGCCGAAAACTTCAATATAATTATTTAAATTAAATTGAGTTAAAATAAGCTCTGTTCCATCTTCAAGCGAAATTTTTTTCCAAAAATAATTATATTGAAGTTTTCGGCTCTTGTTTTGAAACATTGGACTTCTTATGTCAGCGATTTGGAATCATATTTTAAATAAATAATTATATTTATGAATTTTGTATCGAGCACTAAATTTAAAAAATAATAACTAAAATACTAAAGTTATTGGATTATTTACCTAACCAGTTCCTTCCTATTTTCTATATAATTACATTTTATATATATATATATATATATATATATATATATATATATATATATAGAGAGAGAGAGAGAGAGAGAGAAAGACAGACAGACAGACAGAGACAGACAGACATATGGGGGAGAGAAGCACATGTATACATCAAGTGCTTCAGACCAGATGCTATCATTAGCTGATATATATGCTTATAAATAGTTTGGGCCCATTACCGCTCCACACGATGGGCCCGCAACAGGTAGACAATGTTAAAATGCAAATGTCTATGTTGTTATTTGGACGCGACTTTGGAGTACGAATTTCTGGATGATCCATGCACTGTCTTTAACCGCTTTCTCGCCACAAATCTTTATTAACGTATTCGGCTTTTGGCTACCAACACAATGGTGAGAATTTCATTTATATAAGAATGTTATAAATCCTCCACAGCCAACCTCAAACGACACGAGAGTCAGCCGTATCCTCTCTCACGGACTTCACTGGCTTTTCTTTCCTCATACCGAAGCAACTTTCTTTCATTTTAAGCCTTTTTAAATCCGTTCTTCACATGCCACTTATAGCTTCATACAAGTAACAGATGATGCTTCTTTGATATCAAGTAACACTAGATCTGGCCTCCATACAGACAATCTAAATAACCTCTGCCTTGTTGTCAGTGACACCTTGCTTATATATATATATATATATATATCCGTCGAGGGTATATATAGCACTTCTCGATTCTGCTGCCAGAACCTCCAGATATATATATATATATATATATATATATATATATATATATATATATATATATATATATATATATATACACTTGTCGATCATGTATACCACATAACACCTTTGAGCGCTTTTTTTTAAGTTAAAATGGAGATCAACATGTTTTTTGGACTCAGCAGTTTTCAATCTGCTTGTTCTAAACATATTCTTGTCCTAGCAAGAACTAAAAGGTCAACCAATCTAACACTGATTTCATATGCACAATCCTCACATTGCCCATTTTCCTTTTAAATCAGCACGTCTTAAATTCCACTTAAGATTATCGCACAAAATTTCATAACAATCAACTAAGCTGTCATATCATACTTCACAAACCGACAGAGTTCATTATATATATATATATATATATATATATATATATATGTCTATATATATATATATATAAATACAATATATATATATATATATATATATATATATATATATATATATATATATATATACTAAAAAAGAAAGTAAATAACCAAATAAATAAGAAAAAGTCAAACACAACATACCATTAATCTGCTTTTAGAATTTTTTACCATTTCTGTCTTGATCTCTGACGTTAGCTTTAACAAAGTGAAACATGTTAGATTGCCGCCCTAAGTCTTTACATATTCTCAGCCTTGGACTGTCTTCTGGGTGCCGCTTGATCTGGGTTTTCATTTACAATGGACTTTTTGAGTCCTCGTTGCAGCCGCTTGATTGATTGCAATATCGTCCTCTGTTGACGGAGATTTTTTTTTAGATGCGTACAGCTGCCGTACGGAATAGGCAACAATAAACTATAGAAGAACTTAAAACTGATCACAGCATTTAAGTATTGCATTAACATTCAAGCTTGCCTTTTAAAAGATCAATAATAATTCTTCTGCCGCCACTTAATTGAAAAGTCAATTTGATGTGCGTAGGTCCTAACTTTCCATACAAAACAATTATTTTTATTTCATCGATGACATTCGCTGGATAGATGTACTACATTATATATATGCATGTACTACATTTTATATATATATATATATATATATATATATATATATATATACATCGCAGATAGAAAGGCATACAAAATATACAACCGAAACAAAAATAATAATATAATCCGCAATAATAAATTACATGAAAACAGATCCATAATACTACCGACCAATTCTGTCACGTCCACTATCCAAAATAACCTATCCCATCTAAATAATCTTAAAATAGTCAAAAACACTTCCAAAACCATTATGGATATACTCAGATCTTCAAACACTAATAGCAATATATTTCTGAATCAGGCATTTATAAAATTAATTGCCAAAACTAGTTCCTCCCAATATATTGGAGAAACAAGTAGAAATTTTAAAAAGAAAAAACGCATTTATGACTACAAAAGGGACCTCACAAAAAACAACTTAACTAATGCAATAGTCATACATAGAAATAAATTCAACCACAATGTTGATTTTAAAAATGCTACACTCATAAAAAAAGAAAATAACTCACTCAGAAGGAAAATCCTAGATAGTGCCACCATTGAATATTATCTAAATATTAATCTACACCCAGGCTTTCCCTATTTCACCTTTCCTAGCAGAATTACTACTCTCCCAAGCAAACGTACACATCTGTATCAAGAAATCAAAAGAAAAATGGTTGAATCCGTCAACACAACAATAAAAACAATATTTCCACACATGACAATACTTGATGTAATTTTCAGTTGACAATGTGAATATAATAGCGTTTTCTAAATTCTCCCATTTTCTAAGGACATTTTGTTTTGTTATTATTAGTTAATTTGTTTTATTAAATTAATTTCGTTTTTGCCTTGAAAAACTCTACATTGGACGAAACGTGTTGGCTAATATTACCGTTTTCTTATTGTTTTTTACATTTATAAATATTGTCTTTTTCTACAGGTTAACTCTGAGAAGTTTTTCATATATATATATATATATATATATATATATATATATATATACATATATATATATATATATATATATATATATATATATATATATATATATATTGTGTGTTTAGGTAGCAATCCCTCTTTTATACATGTTTCACGGAAGACAACAGAAAAGGTACTGCGATTAAACATTTTATTTAATTTTTCTTGTGTCCGATCAAGTATTTTCTTTTCTAGACACAATACAGGTCGAAACTGTCTAAATGTTCTGTAATTACGAGCGCTTTCGTCTATACTTTTAGCCATTATCAAGTATGATTTTATTTCTTTATATTTACTGGATGTATGGCTGTGTGTATTTACCTACAATTCTAGATACATAGATAATGTCTCATCGTACCTGCCACATCTGCCTCCCAGAAATACCTACAACATAACGGTAATACATTAGCTGGTTAAAGACACTATCACCACTCATGTCTTACCATTATAAGGTAAGTATTTCTGGTTGGTAACGTAACATACTAAATGATAGATATTGTCAGAAGAAGAAAAAATAAATAACAGAAAAAGCTTGATCCAAGCGAGGGTACTTATTATAATAAGTACCCTCGGTTGGATCAAGCTTTTTCTGTTATTTATTTTTTATATATGATAATTTTTTTATATATGATAATTTTGCATTTTTTTTGCCCTGTAAATTTCTCAGCGAGAGGGGGTATAGAATTTCTTGTAGAAAGCTCTTGGGAATGATTAAGAAAAGTTGTAGTCATTTTTTATAGCAGAAATTTAACTTTATTGAAAAACATCATTTCTCCCTCCATATTTTACAATTTTTCAGGCAATTTTAAATTTCCAGCATCTCACTAACATTTATCTCTCTGATAAAATAAATATCCCAGACGCTTTTTTATCAGTCTTCCAGGCAAGATATTTGTTTTTATTTTTATTTGTAAAATTCTGGAAAAGTCTTAATAAATGGATATGCTAAGTTACACTATCGACTGAATACGACGGATACGGAAAACAATCCAGCCAAATTAAAGTCATTTTTGCCTTATCAGAAATTAATTGGATGGTTGATTTTGTTTAACGGCATATCTTCCTGTAAATATGGGAAAATAAGGATAAAACTGTGATGTCGAAATGTAAATAATTTGAACACAATTTTATAGCTTCAACTAAATGCATTTTGAATGCCATTGTACGTCTTCAACTACAGATAAAATGAATTGTTGGTCATTTTGTTATAAAAATGTATTGTTTGTAATTCAACTATTAAATTTAAAATTAAAAATTAAATTTCTGCTATAAAAAATGACAAATTTTTCTTAATCAAATTGCAAATGTTTTCTCATTCCCAAGAGCTTTCTACAAGAAATGCCCTTCCCCACTCTCACTGAAAAATTTACAGGGCAAAAAATGTATCTATCTGAAAATTATCATATTTATAATAAGTACCCTCACTTGGATCAAACTTTTCTGCTATTTATTTTCTCTTCTTCCCACAATATCTATCATTTAGTATGTTACGTTACCAACCAGAAATACTTACCTAACAATAGTAAGACATATAGTGACAATAGTGTCTTTATCCAGCTAATGTATTACCGTTATGTGGTAGGTATTTCTGGAGGGTAGATGTGGGAGGTACGATGTGACATTATCTATGTATTTAGCGTTGTAGGTAAATACACACATGCCATACACCCAGTAAATATAAGTAAATAAAATCTTCCTTGATAATGGCTGAAAGTATAGACGAAAGCGCTCGGAATTATAGAACATTTTGATTTAAATATGAATTGTTGATTATTTTACTATAAATATGTATCGATAGTAATTTTACTAAAATGTATTTTTGTACTTGCTTTGTTTTTGTTTGGGGGTTCACTATTTGCCCAGCGTCAGGGTGGACCTTGGAACAACAGCAATAAAAAAGTAGTTCCACGATAATGAAACTCGCCATTCTCCTGATCAATGGCCTTGCTACCGGATATAGTTTATCGTAATACACAGAACTAATCAGAAAATTAACATCCGGTATAACGTATTTGAAGATTCATAAAAGGCACTTTTTTTCTAAAATAAAATTGCTCAAAAATCAAATACGACTTATAAACAAATACGAAACAGCCGTTGGATTAATTATATCCCAAATCTCATTACGATAGAGAATTGTTTCTCAGCCTATTTAACGGTGTAAAACCTCTGAAATAGTTTTCATGTCTCAAAGAGTTTTGCATAATAATTATTGTATATCTTTATTAATATCTATCTGGTCTCGATTTCTCTTTCTAGTTTGCCGTTTTCAGTAAATATGTTGCCCAGATATTTGAATTCACTGGGCAGCTTATTTACTGTAAATGGCAAACTAGTCAGAGCAATCAAGACCAGATGTCAGAAAGCCAACGCAGTCAGTTACCAACTTGCTCCTCTTCTAAAACATCTTAGCATTTCCATGAGCACCAAGGCAAAATTCATCA